AAGTACAACAGCAAAAAAAGAGTTTTCCATGTCCTTATTTAAACGAAGAACATTTATACCCATTTATCCTTTTTGAAAAAAAGAAAGATGGTCTAAGTAATAAACCCGATCCAGTCCGGTTCATGTAGCAGGCAAAATTGGTGGGTATTATCAAGGAGCCGATAGTAAAGTCTCTTGTTGGCCCCGTGTACAACACGGTGCGGAGCCTCTCCCGACCCCTGCTCATGCACCATTAGGTCTCCAAAACCTGCTGCATAGCATAGCGCTCTGGCGCCGGCCGGCTCGGCCAGGGCCCCGGCCAGGGCTCGACGGCTCGACCCAGCCTACCGGCCAGACCATTTCATACAGCTCATTTAGAAGGCAGCGCCAGAGGACCCCGGCCGTCTGCTCACTCTGCTCGCTACGGAAAATTAGGGCCGTTTAAATAAATTTGGAGCGAGAGAGAGAGCAGGCCGTCTCATCCAGGCCCAACACTCGTCGCGGCGACTCATAATCGCGCACAATGTGTGGAAGGCGCAGCTGTCGCCCACGTAAGTGATCAGGGAGGGGATTACAACACACGTGTGAAGTAAAGTCCATTTCCACGTGTATATCAGCCACGTGTACATCAGCCAGCCCCGCACACGGCCTTTAGTGATACCATGGCGTATAGAGGTCCCTATCACCGCGTGACTGTTTACCTGATCGCTTCACTTTATGAGACCCGAATACAGCCCCTTCTCCCCGCTCATAAAAACGACGTAGACTCGGGTTTTCGGAAGGGCGGGGGGCAGTGCGTGCGCTACGGGCCGCCAGGTGCAGCCTGCCTAGAGTCCACCACCACCGGCCACCACCACAATGCACCGTACGCCGCACCCGGTCGCCCTGTCAAATCACACGACGGGGAGGAAGAAAAGCGGACAACAAAACAAGTCGACTTTTCCTATTGTTTTTGCTTCGGTCTCGGGCGTCGGTTACCCCGATGCATAAGAAAGTGTAGCCGTTGAAAATGAAACTGTATCTTGCCCCGAGCGCGACCGGTGGTATGACATTTCTACATCCTTTCTCCTCACCTATTTTTTTTCGCAGGTGCGATTGGTCCTGCTATACTTTTATAATTTACAACACAGTAACGGCACAGCTCTTTTTTTCCGGTAAAATTCTTTTCTGTCGCCGCGGTCCTCTCCGCCTTCCTATACATTTTTTTCTCTTCCGCGCAGTGTAATCACTCTACGCCGCGCCACGCCGCCGCCTACCTGCACACCGTGCTGCACACAGCAGGCTCCTTGGTCCAGACGGTACCTGCTCTGCGCCGCTCACGGCCGGCCCGCTCGCACGCAGCCCCGCGCCTCTAGCCCCCAGGGCCCAAGGGCCAGGGCTTTGAGGGACGCGCTCAGCCAGTTTACCCCGAATTAGCCCCCCATTTGTGGCTATGGCCCTGGTGTTGGCCGATGGCCGTCATCAGCCGCCGGTAATTATATCATTGGACGCCTATTACATTCGCACCTAAAACACGATCTACGGAACGCGACAGCTGCGCCCTTGGGAGAAAGCAGGGCGTATCGATGATCATTATACCAGAATAATACAACAACCCGATCGATATATAAAAGGGATAGTTTTGCGAAAGCGGCCCCGACGCCATGTAATTATCGTCATTTGAAACGATTTCGTCTCTCTGTGTGTCTATCATTAGTTGAATGCGAGCATTTAAGCCCCAGTTCGCCCTCTCTGCACCCCCGGCCCGGCCCCAATGCCGACCGAGCAGCGCTCATGTCACGTCGCCGCGGCCACGTGTGGGGCCGGCGGCATAGTGGGGCCCAGCCCAGCCGGCGGGGCGCGGCGGCCGAACGACGCGATAAATTGATTAGGCTTTAACTCTTTGGGGGCGCGAGTGCGCGCGCGTTGCGTATGCATGCGCCTCGGCATGCGCCGGCCGGGGCCATTCAAAGTGGGGCGCGCGGCGACAATGGCCCCTATGGGACTGCCATGAATGTCAAAAGGAGGACCCCACCCTTTCACACGTCACCCCATGTCACTCTTCCGCCCCCGGCCCAGGGCTCGTTCAGAAACCACGTGGACAATGGGGGAGTGGGGGTCCAGAAAGGGTCAGGACCGCGTCATTGGACTCATTGGAGTCCAGGGAGACACTATGATATTTGTACCCAGGGGTGCACCCCCACCCCTGGGTACAAATATCATGGGGTCTCCTTGGACTCCAATGACCGGAGGACAAATATCATGGGGTCTCCTTCCTTGGACTCCGATGACCGGGATATCATGGGGTCTCCTTCGACTCTAATGACCGCCCTGATCCGGTTAGGACCCTAAATATTTGGATCACCCCAACCACGTAGTTTCTGAACAGCCCCCCATGTCGCCGTGGGGCGTGGAGAATCGGGCCTCCCGGGCCGGAGTCAGGTCCGGGGGAGAAGACGATACGAACCGAACGTCGAGGCGCGGATGCGTGGCGCGGCCGGTGCTGCGTTTCCGGCGTCGTTACGGTAAGTAATGACTCTATTCCCCCCCGGCAGCAGCAAGGCGCGCGGGCCGGTCGCTCAGCTGCAGCCTTTCACATTCGGATTCACTTAAGTACGCAGGCTAAACGCAGGGGTTTAGAACCGCAATATGTATGAAAGGCCATGCCACCAATTCACATCATGCGAGCACGTGGTGCAATTCGCTTTCGGGGTGCGAGCCCGCACCTTATTAAGACAATTGCGCGAATCCGGACCGCAATATATATGCTTCCACCCCGACGCGCACAGGGGTCGTATTGTAATAGAGAGATGTCTCCTGCAATGACATGACGGCGCATGACGGCGCGGCCATAGCACGCAGCACACGCCCTCAACCCCCCC